CCTTGAAGTTTGGTATCGCGTATCAACCAAATTATTTTTGTCGTCCGGAAGTCGACGTCATAGTTGAAATAAAGTCAACAGGATATGCATTCTACAAACCTATAATAACTATTAAAAACCCTGTCATATAAAGTACTTCGATGATGTACCTACAATCGTATACAATAAATGTGTTGTGCTATATTAGTCGCACGTGGGGAATCTTTTTTGGTCTTGCACGCGAAAAACACTATTGTTATGTTATCTAATATGTACCTAAAGTAACTACAATGCTTATTATAAGTGTAAGTAGATAAGGTAAATCTCAAGTAATACAACAAAGTAGAGCAAGTAAGAGCGAACCGGAATGCAGTTTGAATGAGCAATCGCTGCATACCTAACTATAGCGCCGTGTTGTGTAGACAATAACAAATAACTATAGCACCGCTCAGTCAACAACACAAATAGTTCAGAGATAGTATTCCCCTTATCTGGCCTAGATTTGTGTCACTTACCTACTGCCGTACTGAGTAACTAAGCACCATAGTATATATATAGAGATATAGATAGAGTGTATGGTTCGTGTGCCACCTCGTGGTCCAAACTTGCATGGAGTTCATTCAAGAGTCAAAAGAAAACGCAGATAACGAATATCAGTGTAAATAAAAGTCATGGCACGGCATAGTGTGAGGCGTATGATAAGTGATAACGTACACGTCAGCTCGCGCCCGCACGAGGCTGTGCCGGATCGGCCACGTAGCGGGCCACCGTCCCAACGGTCCAAATGAAGCGAATCAAATACCTTGTGACGATGTCTATCAAGACCTCCCCTGATGGCGTCGACCACACCATAATACACTACAGCACTAAACACTGAATCCACCTGAACTTCACGAACACCATTCCAACGGATAAGGACCCCAACACACGTTCCCGAGTGATAACGCGGCCAAACAAAAAAAAACCGGGGGTCCTAAGAAGGTCGAATCTGGTATTTTTTTGTGAAAAGCTGGCAACGTCGCACCGGTGGCCGGACGAACGCGCGTTCGGTCCGCGCGCCGCTCATTGGCCGAATGCGGCGGCGGCCATTACAGCTCGACATTCGCTCACCCAATAACACCGCGTCCCGCACGCCCCGCCCACTTCCTTTTCGCCTGTTGAATGAACCTCGCGGCAGTCGTATCCGGGCCACCGAATTGTGTGAACGTCTTTACCACTTTGCGCACTACAAGAATGAACAGTAGCACGAACGTACATCTATGTTCCACGGACAGTGTCGAGTGTGAATAGATTAAACAACTCCAACGCTGTACCGTAAAATAACGCGCGTTATATTTAAATATTTTGATGAAGTGCGAAATCCCATACAATTAAAGTAAGATTCTGACTAAAAATTAAATTTTAAAGAATCGAAAGTGTACGTCACATATCATAGGTTATTACTTATTACGTACATAACATAAAAATATGAATATTTTTTTCATTCACAATCTAATCTTACCACAGTAACGGTTCGAAGTTGTTTCATATCATGCGTAGTTTTTTACCTGCAACAATAAAATGAAAAACGTAAGTCTCTAAAATCAAAATAATAAAGTGCAGCAATGTTCAACACAACTTCAAAATATTTCCAAGTTTTATTCCATGGAGCAGTGGCTCAGCATCGAGTTGTGCGCTGAGGGCCGCGGGTTCGAATCCCGCACGGAATAAGATTTTGTAAGGCCTACAAATAATTGTTCCGGGTTTGAATTTTTGCCTTAATGCAAATTCTGTTTGTAAGCCGTCCAATTGTATTTATGAATAAAACAAATGTTGTATTATATTTTTTGGAACAAATGTAATTAATACCTTACTATTTACCTTAATAATTTATGTTACTAGATAATTTAAAAATTATATTATATTGCAAAATTCCGATCTTATGGTTTTATATTCATGCATTCCCACTTTTGTCAACTGATGTTGTAATTTTCTTAAAATTATGCTTTCAAAACTGAAATGAAAATAAATTCGTAAGTATGTTGGACGAAGTTGTAAACAAAAAAGTTTGAAGTTCTTTTCAAAAAGATTTTTAATGAACATGTGAAACGGTGTATAAAATTGTAAAATCATAAATTCTCCTTGTATGATCGAACAAAATTATTTGTCTATTATTTGTATAGTTAGATATATGAGTAGATTGTTACACAAAATATAAAACTTCAATAATTATCAATGGATCCAAAATTTATACGTGACATTCTAGAAGCGATAGTAGTCTAATGGCCAATGGTCGTGTGTTCGAATCCGTCATTCGATTACTGTCGTGAACCATCCCTAACAAGTATTTTAAGGCATTGCTAGTATTTTTTTAATAAAAAAAAATATTGTGAAAGTACAACCTATCGGCAAAAAGAAATCGTTTCACGCTCGTTGAATAATGTATTATGCATTTTAAATCAAATAATTTAGTAAAACACCGATGGATGATATAAGCCAACAATAAACAAGAAAATGGTATACTCGTAGTCTCCGTCTGTACGATCTTTAAATAAAGTAGGCATAAAAAACGGAATTTAAATATTGAAAGCAATTCACCTAAAAAAAATTATTTTAAAATAAATATATATAAATCAACAAACAATATTTTCAGTCCAGTTTTAATCACCTTGAACTCTCTAATTTAATTCATAGACTCTTGGAATCTTTAAAACTTATAAAGATAAAAAGTTTATTGATATGTATGTAGATTTTATTTCTATAAAACTGAAGTGACAAACGAACTTACAGTTCACTTTTTGGTAAGTGACTACAGCAGTTAATGGTTAGATCTGCAATCAACTTCAAACAACGCATGAGAATATGAGCTGTTACCTCTAAGGGTTAAGATGCTCTTGACATTTTTTAAACTGGTATACACACAACGTATGCCATGCTACTTAGCAGCAGTAATACTACTACAAGGTATTAAGGTAATACATACCGGGACGGAACCCTGGACGGAGAAGGAGCTCTACCACTTGGTAAAAATGTAACGGTCCTATTAAATTAGGAAATACACTCGAATCCTATGGCAATACTAACTAACACATCATGTTGTTCTGAACTATATTTTTTCTAAACCGCATGCTCTGAATTGTTGCTAACGTAGACGATTATAGATGATATTCCACATAAGGTAGTAGAGTACTAACTCTTATGAATTACGTTAACAAGCAGTAACGATCAATATCCGACAAATATTATTAATAATCTGCTAAAAACATAATTATATTTTTGTGAAGCTAAAATTACAGCCTTTAAAGATCCCACTGTTGGGCCTAATTTTTGAGAGAATTAAAAAATCACAGCGCGCAAGCAGCACGTGAAGCAGGGTTCGAACACCGCTGGCACCAAGGAAATTATAAATTTCTATTTTCAGAGGTGATTTGCCACGTGCTAGGGAAACATCGCGAAGAGACAGACATGCATGCAGGAAAATCTAATCGGGACAGTGCGGCAGACACTTCCTTGTCCTAAAAAATCTCTTAGAAATTGCCATATTTCTTTAATGATATTTTTTGTATCTGGAACAGTTCTAAAGCTTATATAAGTACAGTGATTTAGTATTTAAGGAGTTACAACATTAAGGTAACCAATGTACTCATGAATAATATTTAATGACAAAAATCAGTTTATAAGATATTTTAACGTTAAAAACTGTTTATATCTTGAGAGCATAATATTATTTACGACAACATTAAAATTATATAATAATAATAATGTCCTCCAGATCGAATTTTGGTCACGTCGGCCAACCTCAACAGAGACTAGCTAGCCATCTGCACAGGCCAGGATTATAGTGCCCAAGTCAAGAAAAAACAGGTGCACTCTATATTCCCCCACTATCAACAATGCTATATATTTAAATTCATACATTTATACATTTCAACTTATCAAAGTCCACTGCTGAACTGAACTATTGTTGTGGCTATTTATTATAGATACCGCGCTTGGCAAGGGGAATATATTTATACAATGTCCTAAATAGAGGTTTTGCTTTAATAAGCGATTATACGACGGACGGAGAAGGACGACTGATTTTGTCTCGTTATACAGTGACGCTATTGCAAACTAATATACTAATTGTATAAAATAATATATGTAAATTAATTTTATTTGCCACCGTGTAGTGGCGATGTAAGAATATCCACTACCCCATATTATCCCGTCGGTGTCGTAAGAGGCGACAGAGGAAAACAGGCAGCAGCGTCTCCCTAATAAAAACTAAAAATTAAAAAATCGATTGCCATCCCACTTGCTAAGCGTAGCAACTATGGCAAATATCCCCCTTATGCTGCAATCTATGGGGGAGGCCTATGTTCAGCAGTGGACTTTAATAGGATGTAACGTAACGGTAACGGTAATTTTATTTCAAAAAAGTTCCGCTGGATTTCTGCTGGTTCTTCCCAGGACAGAGGTTATTTCCCAACCTGTGATAAAACTTACATTACTTTCAATAAGTATCCTAATTATCTATATTGAATAAAAATGATTCTATTAATTCTATAATTCTCCTTGATCCTAGAATCCTAGAATAGATCCTATAATTGCTGCGTCGCCACAAACCTATAAACACCCTATTCTGAACGACCTGTATTCCTCTTCAATTAAAAGGGAAACTAAACCTGAGATGTTCAAGAAATGATCTTTTGCATCTGCCAATGTTTAACTTTAACACCCAGGGTTGATTGCCAGAGAATGCCACATAGTATTAAGTCCGCCCTATGTACCCTTCGCACAATCTTATCCGCCCACCCGGTCGACCGTAAGCAAAAAGAAAATATAGTTATACAATATATTTCTATAGAAACAGCGATGCGGTTGCCCGCAACCGCAAACTGTTTCGGTCGATCGGAGAGAGGAGTAGATGCCGCCCGCGAATACGGCCGGATAGCCGCATGCCCGCACGGTTGCTATTCCTACGGTCCGTTTAGTTGGCGGCTACCCGCCATCGAGTCGAGTTGTGTGCATAGAGTGCATACATATTTTATTATATATAAATGGATTTCGATACCGAAAAATTCATAAATGAAGTCCGGAAACGCCCACCAATTTGGAATACAAAATGCTCACAGTACTCCGATAAAAAATTAAAACAAACCGCTTGGGAAGAATTGGCGAATGTTTATGGTGCTGAATTACAAATTAAAGAAAAGAAGCAACTCGGTAAATAGATCACTTTATTAAAATGGGATTATGTTGTTTAAATATTTATTTTAATGTATTTTCTCCGTTCATATACATACTTAAAATAAAATTTCAATGCAGTTTTTTTGTTACTTAATATCTGAAAACATAGTTTCATTTAGATTTAACGTATCTTCAGAAAAATGACCATTTTTCCGTCTCTTACAAAGTTGTGTATACAAGCAGACTTAAAATTATATATTACTACTAATTTGCTAACATCCCGCAAATAACTTTAGAAACCGCCTTGCCCTGCAGTACATATAAACTGAACGTTCGATTTAGATTTTCTTTAGTTTAGATACTGTGTTATATTTTTTTCTGTGCATTCTTTGTTTTATGTCTTCATGGAACGTTCAAATGCAACTCTGTTATTATTATTTCTTACATAAGAGGGCATCATATTCAAATTCAAAGAAAACGCCTCAGCTCTTACAAAAACATAGAGACAACAAGTCGTATTGTTCTCTGAAATAATCTGCGTGGGTTTCGGAATGTTCAAACAATTTACTTGCGTTTTTTATAGAAGCTTGAATTTTGAAATATTGCTGAGTCACCGATAGGTACTATAGCCAGTATGCAAAAATTGCTCTCTTGTAAAAGTCATTTGGAATTTGAATAGCGACTACTCTTCGGTTGGCTGTAGTAGACATATTTCTTTTAAACGAAACTATATTGCAGCATATTTTTCGCGAACTAATTCAGCGATCTAAGAACTAATCAGGAGTTCTAATTCCGATTCGATATATAAAAGCCAGTTCTGCGAATGAACTTTTGAAAATAATTTATTTTATTGCAGTTTTGAATCTTCAGAAAAAATGGCGAAACATACGTGACTGTTTTGTGAAGGCCCATAAAGCAAAGCAGACAAAGAGTGGGTCTGCGGCTAAAAAGAAAATTCCGTATATATTCTACGACAAACTTTTATTTTTAAAAGACACAATATCTTTTAAGACCACTATCTCTAATGTGACTGTAGTCAAGGAAGATGTAATTGAAGCTGCTGAAAATGACGATACCATTCCATCAAATACGTCCTCATGTACACCAAAGAGAAGAAAGAAAAATAAAAATAATAATCGTGTCAATAAAGAGTTAATCGGGGTTTTAAATAGAAATTTAGAAAGAAAAAATTTTGAAGATGATGAGGATCGCCTTTTCTTTTTGTCATTAGTAAAAGAATTTAAAAAAATACCGGATCACATGCGAATTCAAACTAAGTTAGAAATTTTAAGAGTAATTAAAGACGGGCAGTTTTCTGAGTATCCAAAATCATCATGGGATTATTCAAACACATATTGTGAATATCAAAACGCACATTATTCAAGAAGTAAAGTGCCTTCACAAGAAATTATAGAGAATCCGATACAAGTACAATCGCCATCATCGACAGATTCAAGTGACAGCTAAAAGCCTCAGGACAGTGAACAATCTTACATACAACTTATTTAATTATTTCTTATTATTTATGATAGTGATATAGATAGATGACTTAGTTCACTAAGATGTACTCACTTTGTATAAAAATTTACCAAATATGTTTTTTTTTTTATTTACTGGTAAATTAACCTTTCATTAGGTTTAATAGTACTATGAAATACTGTTTATTGTTTCGTGATAAAGGTTTTTAAAATATTCAATAATTCTTCAAACATCCTATTCTGTATTGTCGTTGTACTATTATTTATTCTGTGGTATTGTGTAATCCAAAGAACGAACAAAAATATTTCTAATTGCTTGGTATCACCACGTGTTTGTAAATAACAATGCACCCAGTAGATAATTAACATAATGAACGGCTCCGACTTCTTCCATATCCATCTTCAAAATGTATTGTTCTGATCGCAACATTTTAACGGTATATCGACCGGACTTGGCGGTTTCGATTTCGTCTGTCCGCAAATCAGTTAGCCACAATTGGAAACGTATGCGGGCAACCGAACGGTGCGTAGGGTAACCTTAAAGGAGTTACATGTAAGTTTTAAATAAATAAATTGGTGACTTCCAAATTTCATGTAGGTTTCCTCAGGATGATTTTCTTCACTGCTAAACACGTGGCTATTAAAAACTTGTCTTAGCAATAACAGTGATGCAAGGCTTCAACTCAGCAATCGAGCAGTATGCCCTGGATTCTGCGGCTCTCTACAGCAACATATACACTTAGGGTTAAATAATACATTTTCCGATGCAATTTACTCTCTCTAAACGTAACATTTACCTACATTGCATTACTCGAGCTCGCTAAGTCGCTGTGGTTTCACCGCGGACACGCTGTATACACTTTTATATTATGTAGGCGTGTAGGTGTATACGCCTGTGGTGGAAAAGGAATGCGAGATAACGTGGGTACGGCGCGGCACGACCGCGGCATTCTGCTGCCGCCCACGTCGACTGAGTTGTAAAGTGGTTTGCTGTTCACCTGGTGTTTTCATCGAACTCGGTTCGTCTTTAGAAATGGTTAACCGATTCGTTGCGACACCAATTTTCGACAACTTTTAGCTGTGGCGGCGTACAAATATTTCATGACATGCTTGTCGTGTCAAGCGTCATAGAAGTTGATGACACGCCTATAGTGGCGTCAGCCATCTGTAAAAATCCTGTTCTTTTTTATGCTTTTTTCACTTGTTTAGACATGATTAAGTTTAGTTGACATCAAACATCAGTTGCAAACGTAAAGATACTTGTTTTAGCGGCTAACTACGTGTTTTCTTTGAAATGAAAATACCATTTTTTGTTTTATAAAAAAATCATTTATGTAAGTAGGTACAGTTAAATCACCCTGAAAAAACTTGGTTTTTATTAAATTAAATTTTCACCTAATAATAACGTTTGTAAATATCAAACAATCAAGAAACCTTAAATAGGAAAAAATAAGGTTTATGATTAATTGATATTTACAAATGTACAAGTGTTGCGTACAAGTGCAAAAAAGCTTGTCAACCCCTAAAAACTTCAAATTCTCAAAATATCCAGAAACTAAGATGAACTATTTGCAAAATAATGAATATTTCGTTTTGGATAAATCTCCAATAACGCAAATTTTTAAATGACACGACTTGCGTGTCATACGCTACAGAAAAATATTCGATGGCACGCACGGCCTGCCATCCGCACTGATTCGGTTAAAGAATAACTATACGTATTAATTTTTATATATTTGAAAATAGGTTTTATTAAAATGTACAAACCGTCTTCAATAAACTAAAAAGAATAAAATGAATTCCACATAATAGCTTCTAAGTTGGTACTAAAACATAGCGTATCGAATCATGTTTTTACGTGGTAGAGCCACCGTATTACGGTTGTAGCACGAATGAGTCGGCTCGACCGAAGGAACACCCTCTCACAGAATACCAGCGTAAAATAGCAAGCTTAATGCTGCTGTGTTTCGTATGATGAGTGTACAGAAACGGATATCTTTTTTACTGGAAACGAGGCATCCCATCTTAGTCCTCAGTGGTGACAACGCATCTACATTTTGATTCTTAATCGAGGATAAATATCATCCACAATCAGGTGGGCTGTGTGCTTGTTTGTGACCCTTTATATATATAATAAAAGAATAAAGAAAGCCCCGACTTCAGAAGATAATAAGTGGATATTTTTTTTATTTTAGGTTTTGAAGCGCCTAATTATAATTAACATTTCTGATTTTTTTTTATTATCTATCTTTATTTAAAAAGGCTTTTATCCTACAAGGATCTTATCGTAACCTAACTTATTCGTGTTACACAAATGCTATTTAGAAAGGGGTAATTAATGTGGTAAGAATATTGAAATGAATGATTTTGCTACCACTCAGTGTGGCTCTGCAAGTATACTCAAAAACCAACCCGTTTCACTCAAATTGATATTAAACTTTTGCACCAGATTCTCCCTTTCCCTTTGATATTTGACACATTCTGCTACCATATGTTGGACACCTTCTATAATATGACAAATATCGCAATTGGGCGAGTCTGATTTTTTCATCAAAAATACAATTTTTTTATTGGGATAGTCCCCAGAACGTAACCTATGAATAGCAATTATATGTTTTCTTACAATATTATTATACCACGGTATCCGAAGAGGCTGACTTTGAATTGTTTTATACCATATTCCCTTTTCCCTGCTTCTTTCATCGAAATACTCTCTATTTTTATCATGACAAAGGTTTTTGAATTTTGTCAAGATTTCCGTGTAGATTGGTAAAATATTTAATTCGATTCCTTGCGTTATAGCGGCTTTCTCTAATAGGTCAGCCTCTTCGTTTACCTTTAAACCTATATGCGATGGAACGCATTGCAATTTTATATTTATATAGCGACTTCTGTAATTATATAGTTGATTTAATATCCCATAAGCTATCGGTGCACCTCTGCTATGACCAGAGGCGCATCGAGCTAAATGTTGTAAAGCGCTTTTGCTATCTGAAAAAATAACAAAATATTGGCCACTTAAATTGCTAATATATTTCAAAGCTTCAGATATTGCAACGAGTTCCATCGTCATTACCGATAGTCTTAGTTCTGTTGTAAACATAGCTGTAATTTTTTCTTGAGAGTGACAATATGCAGCTCCTAAGCCTACACGATTCTTGGATCCATCAGTAAAGATTTGGTGCCAGTTAGAATATTTTTCATCTAATTCCTATGATAGATTGGTTCTAAGATACATAGCTTCATGACTGCTTTTCTTCTTTTGAACACAATCTAAATTCACTTGAATAGTTTCATTTATATCTATGTAGGAAACCCAAATATTTAGTTTAAACATTTCTAACGGATAAGAATTGTGAATATTACATAGTTTTTACATAGTTTACAGTCGTAGTATGCAAGTAAAAGTAATGGTTTTTTTATATTGTGCCAGTATCTATTATTAATAACAGAACTAAGATCATTCAGTATTTTAATTGTAGCATTATCTGTCCAAGACATACTTTTAATACAGTATTTATATGCTAAATATTGTCTTCTTACGAACAATGGTACTCTCCATAATGTGAAACATTAACAATTTGATTCATTGGTCGGTAGATGTTATATTTCGTATAAGCCCTGTAACAAATTTAATAATATCATTAGAATTAATCTTATTTGCATTAATTCTAACCATTTAATATCTCACTTGAAATCAAAGTCGTGGTTTCATTTACCACAACCCACGCTGAGTGATGCACGTACAACGTCAACAGATTTTTTATATTGTTGTGCGCAAATAAAGTATGTCTGTTTATATAACTATTAGCTGGCCAGGCAGACGTTGTTCTGTCCTTTTCGACTACCCTTACTATAAAATATACTTAAATTCGTAATAAAAAAAATATTGAACGTCATTTATCGGGATAAAAACTATCCTATCTCTCAAGTTGGACCAAACTGCACACAGTGTGCAAAATTTCATTGAAATCATTTCAGTAGTTTAAGAGTCCATCGCGGACAAACAACGTGACACGTAACTTTTATAGATAAAGATTTAAAAGATAAAAAGGACAGAAATTGTTTGAGATTTTTTAAATTAATTTATCTTCACTATTCGCCTATCCATTTTCTGTGATGTTTGTGCTGTTTTTCATATTTCATGTGTTAGCCTATACGCCTCTTACAGCTTCAACTGACTCAGGGCTCGCGGCCTCACAGTCCTGTTTAAAGATATCATTAGATAACAGTAAATTCACAGATTAAATAATGTTACTACGTAATCAAAATAATAAAATTGATCTCACACCTACTGTTACTACTATGTAACTGCAACGAAATGTAGGGTAAATATCAACGCACACACATACATCATTTGTAATAGCACTGGTTCAGATCAGTCTAGATAATTATCAAATCGATTTGTATGTATGTAGGTATGTATTCATTTAATAGGATTAAATACCTACGTCCAAGGTTCCCGGCTGATTATTCTGAAAGGAGCGAAATTAATTGACTTTATAGAGGGCGCGTCCTCCAGAGGTCACTTGGTTGCCTAGCAACCTGTCGTAAAATGGAAACTGGGCAACTTGCCATTTAGGTATTTTAAGCGTCGATCCAATTTTGTGTATGAATGAAGTTTTCTACAATTTATTATTTTTCATGCACTGGGATCAAAATAGAGTGATAAATACTTTGAATAAACATACTATTCTCCCTAAAACTACTTGCGGCATGAGTAGGTAGGTGACAACGATTTGACTGACAATTTTTAACGTATTTTTAAGCAGTTCTTTCTTTGTGGTTGGTATATATTAAATATACGAGCAAAGTAAAAATAAAACACGATATATAGATGCGATAACACTTAAAGCGTGAAGTGACAGTGTATTGGAGTTTCGACCTGACGAGTCCGTTACGTTCGTAAAGAATAAATTTTATGCAGGTTTCCTCGCGATTTATCCGCCTCAACTCTGCTTGTCGGATCGATATCGCAGTGACAATGCA